AAACCCACATGCACACGAGTGGAGTTTAGGAGGCCGAGATTGAGATTGAGGGCAAGCCAGTGCTCTGCAATTTAGACACCGGAGCGAACTGTTTAGTGATTTCACTCAAGGAACTAAAAGCTGTTTACGGCGCACAGCCGGAAGCAAGCAACACGTCGCTTAACACGTTTTTTTGGGCAGAAAAAAAACAATAAGAAGAATGACCCTGCAAGCTACAAGTAAACACGGATCTGCTCAGGCACATTTTTTTTGTTCAAGAACGCGCACCAACTCTCACCGGTCACCTGTCTCACATGCCATAACTAATCCAACTTGTGGCCACCCTCACAACTGCAGAGAATCTACTTTATGGGGTGGCAAAGCTATTCGCTGACACTTTCAAAGACTTCGGTGAGCTACGTGGTGTGGTTTTCCAGATGAACCTGTCAAGAGATTTCAAGGTGTAGTCAAGCCTGTCCACAGCGTTGCACTAGCACCCCGTGAAAAGATGAAGGCTGACTAGACAAAATAGAAGCAAATGGAGTCCTCGCGCTTGTCACCGAACCACCGGAATGGGCAAGTCAAATGGTAGTTGTGGTAAAGAAAGACAAGATAAGGGGTTGATTGGATCCCGTCGACCTTAACAAGGCACTCAAACGACAGAACTACCACATGCCGACGCTTGAGGACGTCGTGACCAAGTTATGCTCCATCAAGTACTTCTCTACGTTGAACGCTGCTGTTGGATTTTGGAAAATCTAAACTCAGTTCTTACTTATGCACCACAAGCATGCCATACGGACGACACAGATTTCTACGGATGTCATTCGGAACTTACACAGCACCACAAGTCTTCCAAAAAGCAATGGATCAAGCTCTTCAAGGTCATGAGGGCGTCGACGTAGTCATGGGTGACATATTGGTATGGGGTTCAACTAAGGAGAAGCACGACAGACGTTTGCGAAATGTTTTGCAACCGTGTAAAGAAGTAAACATAGAGCTAAACGAGGCCAAGTGTCACTTCTGCAAAACAGAGGTACAATATCTAGCGTTCAGGCTCACCGACTAAGGGCTTTCGATACCCTGAAATGGCAGAATTGATTTTCGATGTTCAAGTCCCAGAGAACGTCAAGCAACTCAAGACATTCCTGGGAATGGTAAACTTTGTTGCCAGATTTATCCCGAACATGTCGGAGATACGTGCACCACTGCGTGACTTACTGATGAAGGACAACACATGGGCATACCAGACGTGCAGCAACAAATCTTTGAGAGCCTACGAAGAGCCTTGTGACAAGCACCGGTCCTGGCGTACTGCGACAAGACACTGCCCATTGTGCTACTAGTAGATGGCAACGAACATGCAGTAGGAGCAGTCGTCCTGCGAAACGGACACTCCTTGGCTTACTGTTCTCGCTCAATGACAGAAGCACAGGAGAGGTATGCACAAACTGAAAAGGAGATGTTAGTCATTGTACATGGATGCATTATATTTCACGACTATGTCTTTGCACAGCCAAGCATGTCGGTGGAAAAGAAGCACCGCCCACTCAAGCGAATCTTCTAGAATCTGTTACACCAGTGTCCATTACGTCTGCAAAGGATGCGACTAACCCTCCAGAAGTATTCCCTTACGATAAAATAGAAACCAGGAACCAAGATGTTTATAGCAGATGCCTTGTCTCGGTTTTCGTCAAAATAGTAGGTGCCGGAAGAAGAACAGTTCCAAGTAAATGTGCAAGAACTGTCAGCCTCCTCCTAAAAACTGCAGCAGATGGAGCGTGAGACAAGTTACAACTACAATCTATATACCTTTAATAAATGTGCGAGACCACATGACCAGAGGACAAAGGGTAGGTTCCGGAAGAAATTCGTGCTTACAGACCGTACCGTGACTATATCCATGTCGAATAAGATATCCTCCTCCGATCCAACCAACTGGTTATTCTCAGCTGATATGCATGCAGCCCATGGAGGCACAGAAATTTTGAAGCAACTTGTCAGAAATGTTGCTATTTGCTCTGGTATGTCAGCAGAGATTAAAGAGAAAGCAGATGGATCTGCACTCTGCAGGAAACATTAGCCCAGGAACCAGCGACTGCCAATGATGAGCCACGAAGCACCTGAACTACCCTGGCAAATAGTTGGCATCGATTTCTTCTGCCACCAGGGGGAGGAATATGGTATTATTGTCGACTTCTACACGTTTTATTTTGAGATTCGATGCTTGAAGCACATGACTGCTGAAGCCGTCATTATGTTTTTCCAAGTAGTCTTCGCTACCCACGGTCTTCCTTGTAAGCTTATCAGCGACAATAGACCATACAGTCACAAGTTTACTGAATAAATGAGTCAGTGTGACGTCGGGCACACCACATCAAGTCCGCACTATCTACGCTCAAATGGGATGGTGAAATTAACCGTTAAAGAGGTGAAAAAAACTACTTAACAAGACTGCCTACAGAACTGCAGGGTTTTACAATGCTCTACTAGAGTAGATAAACACTTGAAAAGAGAAACTGCTGCATTTCCCAGTCCAGCGTGTGATTGGAATAAGAACAAGAGTACAGCTGCTTGTGCACACCAAGCTTTTCGAGCCTGAGACAGTGCCTCCTAAGCATGATGCAGGTGACGTCAAAGCTTAACGAGATCCGCTAGTGCCAGAAGACGTCCTATAGCAAATGTGCAAGAGACCTAGCACGCCTGCATCCTGTGTCAGAGATGACAGTGTTTAACAGCCGCAATTCCGAGTGGCACTCAGAGGTTGTAGTCCCTGAAGCCCAACACTGAGATCGTACATCATCGCCAACGAAGGTGGGGAAAAGTTCCGCCGCACCTGAGAGCATATCCAAGACCACAGTTCAACAACAACTGCATCGCAACAGCCCCCAGGACCACAACCTTAACTACTAAAGCGTAGCCCCGCCACGTTGGTCTAGTGGCTAAAGTACTCGGCTACTGAGCCGCAGGTCGCGGGATCAAATCCCGGTTGCGGTGGCTGCATTTCCGATGGAGGGGGAAAGGTTGTAGGCCAGTTTGCTCAGATTTGGGTACATGTGAAAGAACTCCAGGTGGTAGAAATTTCCGGAGCCCTCCACTCCGGCGTCTCTCATAATCATATGGTGGTTTTGGGACGTTAAACCCCACATATCAATCAATCTACTAAGGCAGAGTACCTGAAAACGCCAAAAGCCACGACGCTTTATAGCAGAGTGATGAAGCAAGCTTTGAGGAAAGAAAAGGAGATGTGGCCTATATCGTCGCTGCGTGTGTCATTGACATCGCTAGCGCCACTTCTCTTCCTCGGTCATATGCTGACTGAATAAATGTTTTTGTTGTTGTTCTTGTCAGCCATGAACGCGTCCTGTTGTCTTCGCGCTAGTTCGTACAACGTCTCACAGCAACCAAGGATTAGCCCTTTGAAGCGGTGCTACTACCGGGGCTAACCGGACTTACGTTGTGAGTTCGGGAAACCCCACTCATCTTATTGCCCGCGTCAAATCATGCGCATCACTGTGCTTTAGCTTTATCGGCAGCTTTCCCAGTCGACTGTGCATTGCGTTGGTTTAAGTGCATGCTGGGGGAGGCGCAGCGAATGGGTCCTACTTTTCCTTTTTACCTTCTCTTACCTTTTCCTTCCTATTCCTTTTATTCCCAATACGCCATCTCTGTGCCGACCTGTTGAAGTGTCATCTCAAGGATAGATAGTTACGGGCGGCACTTTTATCTTTTTTCTTTTCATAACCACTTAGAGAAAGAAGCGCAATCATCAATGCCTAGACATCGAAAACCTGTAAGGAATCAAGCGCCATCGGGACTAAACAAGCCATCATCGAAACAGGCAGCAGTTGTGGAAACCAAGTGTTCCACCATGCAGGAGCATAATGAGCCAGCGATTCGGCAAAGCTGCTCAACATAAGTACAAATAATAATCTTGAAACAAGAGTTACCTAAGTGAAAGAAACAGACTTGACGTTAGCATAAAAACCAAAAAGGAAGCTTGAGCACCTAAGCACCCCGTCGAAAACCGTAAGAAAACTAACAAGTTATTAACAATTCTTAAACAATTAGAAGCTGCGTCAGAAAAGAGTAGAAAATGACATGTTAATAACCCACTCGTCCGTAAAACAAATCTAACGACACAAAACTGCTATGCCAAACAATACAACCTCACAGACAACCTTCTAGGAAGGCATCTTCCTGGGCACATTGCGTTTACTTATTACCGGCCTTGTGCGTGTTGTATGCATCTACGATTTCCCTTTCTGCTGTGTGATGTCAACGATTGAAGAAAGCAGGGCACGTGAACTCCGGGACGCATCCGCCCCTTTTACAATGATGCACAAGCTGGGCACCAGCGTTACTATCGATTGATAAAATACGCCGATCTTTGTTGAGAAAGTAAAGTGCGTTTTTAGTTTTAGGTGCAGGGGCGTAAAATCTCCAGGTGCTAGTAATTTACTGAGCACTCCACAAACATTCGGCATACATCAAAATTATATTCTGGTTTTGGAGCATGTAACCCCAGCCATTTCATATCTATCTATATATATATATATATATATAATATATATAATATATATATATATATATATATATATATATATAATATATATATATAATTATGAGGATGAGCTTATTCGAGGCGAGCTCGAGCTGGCAAACACTGATGATGATATCTACAGTTGAGGAAATTGTACAAATGATGATGACACGTCCAATTGATAAAGAAGAGTCGGTGACTGCGCTCACTATATATATATATATATATATATATATATATATATATATATATATATATATATATATATATATATATATATATATATTGTAACCCATATTATTATTATTATCATTACTATTACTATTATTATTATTATTATTCGATATACGTAGCTTAAATACCGCAGGCTCAACAAACAGTGAAAATCCCTCGTGTTCCCAACAAAACAAGTAAAGCAATGACGCAGTCATTATCATGCAATTTTTATGGACTTGAGAAGAGTTGTGTAACTACTTACAATGTACGGTTCCTAATTATTCTGGCCGTCAAATTATATGTGTAGATGTTCTCAGAAATCTTTTTATCTTGCGTGGCCGAGAGACAGTCGTAAGTGGTGTTGAGGTGATAGTCTCTCATCAGAACGTGTATAGTTTTATTTAGATTTATCATCTGAAAACCAAAATTTCTTAAATAAATTTTCCAAAAATTGAGGACTCGTGATTGAGGATTTCATTTTGTTTACTATTACGAGTGAGCCAATCCTGCGCGCAGTTAGAGTACACACGAAACGGACAACAGAAGCTGCGATCGCATTATACCGTTCAAACTTTCATCAGGTTCGGGAAACAGTGTCCTGCGGAACCACCGTATTAGATGCAGGGCAGTTCTACTATATGCCTCATCGCTATGCTAGTCAAATTAATAAGCTTGTTCTACGATTCTGCGGTGTAGTACGTGCTTAATACCCTTGTCAGACGTGGCAACCTAAGTGCACTTAGAACGAGTGTACTTACGCTCACAAAGTGTCATTTTGGCGGTTCGCTGCTACACGAGCAAGCGAAGTGTACATTGCAAATGATGGCAGTGGCGATTGATAGATTTGTTGCACAACGCATATTTGACATTTTTGCGCTTGTGTCTCATCCCCGGACCACGTTGTCTTCGTGGAGGTAGCACCTGTGGCTCATGTCAACTCACCTACACATGGGCAAGTGTACCTGGAAGAAAAAACGCGACGGACGCAGCCATTGCTGTGCATGTGCTGCCGCATCCCTCAAGCGGACGCGGCCGCAAACAGCCCGGCAGTGAAATTAGCGAGGTTATTGTATTTTATGACTTGCTTTATACATTACAGTATCCATCCTAGCAAAAAAATTGCCCGCAGCTTCCCTCGGGGGAACACTGAGGAGGATGCGGAGCATATAATTGGTTAACGGGGTGTTAAAGTGCGACTTACTTGGGTCGATGGCTAAATTGGTTAACGTGGTTGTGAAATGGGGTGTTAAATTGCGACTTACTTGGGTCGCTGGCTAAATTGGTTAACGTGGTTGTAGGAGGGGTGTTAAATGAGTGAACACGTACGACACGTATCCCGTTTTCGAAAGTCCGGGTCCTCTTGTCGACGCTTACGTTTCAAAGCGGCTGAATCCGGTGCTGCTGCTCGACGCTGACGTCTCTCAGCGGCTTCACGTTATCTAAGTTGAGCATCTTCCGCTCGACGTCGACGTTTACGTTCGGCGTCGCGAGCTCTTCTCCGCGCTGCCTTGTCTTCGGACGACGACTTGGTTGCGGTTCCGCCAACACTTTGGCCAGCGCTGGTCGAAGGGACGTCGATCATTGCGACCTCGGACGTCGACGCGCCGTACAAACCAACCGACGAGCGGCAACTGAGCGAGCGAGCACCGACCTTGAGTATATATACAGCGCGACGGCGCATGCACTGTCAGCTGTCGAATGTTCGAGAAGGGGGAGAAGCGCAACGGCGCATGCGCGCGCGTCAGCTGCCGATGTTCTCGAAGCGCGACGGCGCATGCGCGCGCGTCAGCTGCCGATGTTCTCGAAGCGTGACGGCGCATGCGCGCTACATTATACAGCTAGCGAATGTTCGTGAAGAGGAGAAGCGCACGCGGTGTGTAGAGGAGGAAGGGTGCACAGACGGTGGAGGAGTGAAGCGCGCGCGGTGTGTAGAGGAGGAAGGGGTGCACAGATGGTGGAAGAAGGAGGAGGAAGCTTGCGGACGGCGCCGCACTACAAGCCTCGAGTATTAGATGCTCCGCATCTAAAACAATGGTTTGAATACCGTATGAGTGCCGCTTCAGGCAACAGCGTCTTTCTGTACAAGACACTGGTACGGAGGCTACATACTTTATCGCAGCCGTCGCAGTGAAGTGAGGCTGGGGAACGCACTTGCCGGCAAGTGTACTTTGCAGCGAGTGACTTTAACTTGCTCGTGTGACAGAGCGCAAATGACACTCGCGGCTAAGTGTACTCGCTCAAAGTGCACTTAGGGTGCTACGTGTGACAGGAGTATTAGACTGTGTCAGGGGTGACAATGAAAAAGGCAGAAGAAGAGAAAAAAATAAATGCTCGAAACGCGATACAAGAAATTAGAGGAGGAAAAAAGAAGTGCGCGCGTGCACGCGAGAGATTTTGAAAGGCAGGCGCGTGCAAAAGAGAAGGTTGACCAGGACGGTGGAGAAGAAGAAGATGGATTGTCGAGGGAGCGTGAATCCTGCCCCAGTACTGCAACGCTTCAAGCGTCGCCCGAGTCGTCACCTCGGAGAGCTGCCGTCTTCGTGCACGAAAACGGCAGACATTTCGCCAAGTCGAAAAAAAAGTAGAGGTAAAACAAAATTAAAGGAGATTTCATATTCGTGAATTCGTGAAAGTTTTAACGCATTAAGATGAAGGGAAAAATTGTTTTGTTGTGATTGCTCAAACCGAGGTAATATTATACAAATAATTTAGCGTGACACTGCTTCACTTGGGTTCCCTAAGTTTGAAGCATCATCAAGGCACCACATACTTTGACGAATACCTGTCCAATTTTTTCAGTATGATCGTAGATGTAACTGGCCTGGTAAACTGGATATGCAAGGGCTAATTTTTCCGTGTATGATGCAATAATATTGCGATCTAACAGACAATATTGCCAAGGAATGTCTAGCGGCACTTATTATACCGAATCATAATGTGATGGGCATGAAAGAAAGCTGGGTGAAAAGATAACTTGCCGTGGGCAGGAACCAAACCAACGACTTTCGAATAGAGCATCGAACGCATTATTCGAAAGTCGCTGGTTCGCTCGCTGGTTCTTTGGTACGCTATTCACGGCAGCCTTTTAAACCGCCCTAACTACCACAACGATGGTCATAAATGGTACTTAGTCATGCCCCGCCGTCTTCGTCGGGACTAACGCTTCACTTTACACAATGACCCACAGTGTGATCACAGCGGCTTGTTCAAGGCGTGCATGCACCTTCGTTGATGCTATTATTGGCGCGGAATGGACAGCTTTGTCTGCAAATACGTCTTGTCTTGCTTCGCCTGCTAACGCCGCAAACTTGTCTCGCACCTCTCGAAACGCTTCCCTGTTCAGCCCACCCAGTTGATCGTGTCGGCATTGATTTGTACAGGCCTCTTTCATGCACTGGCGCTGGCAATCACTGGATTGTCGTTGCCCTGGATCATTTGACAAGATACGCCGAAACCTCAGCATTACCTGCCGCAACTGCCAAAGACGTTGCCTCGTTCACTCTATACGCAGCTATGTTCTCCGCCATGGCTCCCCTCGTGAACGACTTACTGTTGGGGGCTGTGTATTTCTTTCAGATGTGTTGCAATCACTCCTATCCGAATGCAGAATTGTTCACCACACCACTACCGTGTATCCCCCACAGACAAATGGCTTAATAAAACGTTTTAACTAAACCCTTCGTGACATTATGTACTCTGCACCCGGTCACTGAAACGAAGATCTTGTTACACCCTTTGTCACATTCGCGTAAAACACCCCCTCCCAAGCCACCCTCGGATTCTAGCCAATCTTTTTGATATATGACCGCAACCCTCAAGCACCATTGTTATGACTATACCACACCATCCAAACGCTAATGACTACCAAACTGCGTCTGCGGTGGTTCAAAAAGCCGGGAAATGCCCACAACTGGCCCATTCTTTGCCCTACGATCAACAGTGTCGCCAAAAACAGCGTCATGACTCCGACATCCCTCTTGACCCTTTCGCCATCGACTCTCTCGTGTGGCTTTGGGTGCCGCCAGTGGCTGCTTCCGATCTTTCATCTAAGCTCCTTCCGAAGCAACGGACCCTACCGCGTGGTTGCGCAGACCTCTCTTGTTAATTATGTAGTTGAACCCGTTACGCCATCTTTCGACCTTTATCGTCGGGGGCAACGAACACTACAATAACCGTCTCACAAGCCGTATTATGATCCTCTGACCTCTCTCTAGGTCGCCATGATGGCTACTTCTCAATACAGGGGTTGATTGTAAGGAAGACGATAGACACGAACAGGAGCGCATCGCCATCGCCTGGCTCACTCGGCTGTGCGCTCTCAGGCTACGCCTTGCCTGCTGTTGCTGCTATCGTCTCGAAAGCTGCGTACCATAATAAACTGACGTAACAATATATACATTTATATATATATATATATATATATATATATATATATATATATATATATATATATATATATATATATGTTATAAACTTCGAGAATAGTGCAGTATAGGAAACAAAACAATAAAATATTTATTTAATCCTAACAGTTTCGGCTGGTGGACCAGCCTTCTTCGGAGGATGTAAGTGAAATGATACAAGTTCCCGTAGCAGAGGGTCACCCTCACAGTTTAAAGACCCTCCAAAAAAAAAGAGAGAGAAAAAGACAAGCGGGCGAACGAGGTAGCAACAGACAACAAGAAGCAGAAGAAGGAGAGGAACTAGAAAGGAGCGACGGAGAGCCGCCGGAAACGAGCGGGTAATTCTGGCATTGTTACTTGGTATAGGTAAGACGCGCCGCCAGCGGAGGCGACCAAGAAAAACGGAAAAATGTGGAACATGTTGCCGCTTACTCGCATCCCACACATGGATCGAGTTTAAGTTCACGTGGTTCGGCGGCTGGCCCGTGGCATCGGGCCACACACACACACACACACAAGAAGCATACGACCCGCTCCAGCTTTCGGAATATAATGGCCACGTTGGAAAGCTAATGTGCCCTCTCCCCCTCCCTCCACCTGCCCTCTCTTGCAGAAAAATGTACAACCAGTCATACTGAATATATATATATATATATTTATATAGCTATATATATATTGTTGAGAAACGGCGGACCGATCCCGCAGCTGCCACCACTGTTGAGAAACGACGGACCGATCCCGCCGAAGCCACCACTGTTGCGAAAGACGGCGACGACAACACGGCCCCGGAGGCGCCACTGCTTTCAACTCCGCCGGGAAGGTCACCAGCCGTTTGGTAGCGTATGTTTATCAGCTCGCGACTGCTTCTGCGCAGAGCTGATAAGACGAGCGGACGAGACGACGGTGAGTTAAACAAGGTTTATGTACAGCATATTTACAGAGGCGTTACAATTTCGGCACTGGGGCCGACAGAGACTCGAAGAGCCGAGCTCTTCTCTCTAACACATAGGT